AGAGAGAGAGATTGCGATTTATAAATGCATTTCACAATTGACACTAATACGGATTGGCGACTTATAAATCTATGACGAAATACATAAAGCGCCCCTTTAAGTTGTCCCCAACAATCATTTGAACACCTCAACTAAGGCCTTTTTCATTTAAACGTTTCACATGACTAAAAGGTGAACTCAATAAATACCTGGCCTCACCAGCCCTCGTCGCGTGTGTTACACCTCTGGATTCGCGCGTGTGTAAGTAATCCCAACGGTAATGTAGCGGTTTTTTTGTGAAATTTAAAAAAAAACCCTTAATGAAGTCCCTAATTTAAATTCCCAAACCCAACCCTAAAAATTTATTTCACTTCTATCACCTCTCCAGCCGTGTATATCTTCTCCCTCCCTAGCAAAGCAGCAAAAATTCTTTTCTTCTCTCTCTCTCTCTCTCTCTCTCTCTCTCTCTCTCTCTCTCTCTCTATCTACTTCTTCTATTTCAATGGAACATGTTGTTAATTGCAAATGTGGCCAAATTACTCCTTTAAAACTTTCGTGGTCACCATTTAATCCGGGTAGAAGATTCTATGGCTGTAGATTTGGGAAAGTTGTCGATGGTGGATGCGATTTTTTCCGTTGGTATGATGTTGAATTGTCCGAACACTATACCAAGGTCATGTATGGATTATTAAAGAGGGTAAAAAATCATGAAGAAGAAAAGTCGAAGTTGATGAAGAAACAGAGGATTTTGGTGTGGTTGCTTGTAATTGTAACTCTGACTTAGTTTTTGAGGGAATCTTCTATTATTTAGGTGTATGGTATATGTATATTGGTATGTAACCCCATTTATTTTACTGCAATGTTATTGATTTATGGCCAATGTTGCCTATTCAATGTAGTTGAAATTTACAATGTGTATGATAAAGTTTTCAATGATCAAATGTGTTTTAGTTTCTGCAAAAAAATTAGACTGCTGAAGCAAAGGTGGAATAATCCGATCTCATAATAGCAAAAAACTATACTGCCAATATCATAATAGCAAAGGTTGATTAATCTGAAAAACTGAACTAACAAAAGCAGGTTCATATACATCCCATACGAAAGTAAGGTTCATATATATGACCAAATGACCAACATAAGTAGGTTCAAAATACTTCACAAAATATGGTTCATACACATGACCAACAAAATACAAGAAACTTCTTCAACATTTATATCCTCGTCTGAAAATGTAGCCATAGTTTGTTATGCATTTATAGCACTACCCTCAGCAGTATTTACTTTTATATCCTCAACCACACTTATACCAATACCCTCATCAATATTTACTCCAATACCCTCATCAACAGTTACATTAATACCCCCATCAGTATTTACTTGAGTACTCTCATGACCATTTATACCTATGCCCTCATCGACATTTACACCAATGCCCTCACAAACATGTACACTAATCCCTCGACCACCCCTAATTTCTGTATTAGTTGTAGCTTGGTCACTATCACCAACCTGTGAGGAAGGTAAATATCACACAGGTACATCCTACTCCACAACCTCTAAATTATCTATTACATGACTCACATAGACATCAAAGAGATTCCCATCCTTCAGGTCTTTAATTAAATTTAGTAGTTGATAGTCATTTTCAATTGGAAAGAACTTCTGAATTTTAGGACATTGAATAAAGAACCCACCAACTGAGTTGTAGCATATTTAAGGGGTTTCTTTTGTGTACGATAGAAGCTCGAGCAAATAGAAATGGTCTTTGTCCACCACATGCCCTATTTTTTCACCCTCCCCCACATACGTTACATCAATAAAGTGACCCCCATGATGAAAAATAACACCAATATATTCGTCCATGTGACTCGGTACTGAAAATGACAAAAGAAAACCAGCCAATATTCCCTGACCTTTTTAATTTTCTAGAAGAAAAAAAACCCTAATCTAATAGCACCATAACAGACATATAGCAATAAAATACAAAAAATATATAATCTAAATATACCTTTATGCAATAATCGAAGCCACTTTACAGTTGACTCCCATTTTCACAAAAACTTCACTGTCAAAACCCTAGGACGACCTTCCTTCAAGTGATAAATCTTGAACCAATAATCAATTCGAACAAACCACAACTAATCCTACTTAGTAAGTGAAAGAAATATTGAATTTTGCAACAAAAATCCCAATTGAACCAAGCTTAATCGAAGACATGAAGATGGGTGAAATTCGGTGTGAGAGAGAGAGAGTTAGACGGAAGAAACGATGAAATTAACCTTTATGATTTATGTTTTTAATTAGATGCCTTTTTCTTATTGTTTATCCCCGTGTCAGCTTCTTATTCGTTCTTATAATAGACATTGGAGGTGTAACACACACGATGGGATTGGTGAGGTCGGATGTTTATTGAGTTTACTTTTTAGTCACGTTAAACGTTTAAATGAAAAAGGCCATAGAGGAGGTGATCAAATGATCATTGGGACAACTTAAACGAGTTATTTATTTATTTCGCCTAAATCTATTCACCGTCCGAAACTTATAACATTCGTCCAGTTGACAACTTGAAGGAGCCCACTTTTGCTTTTTTTTCTGGTTGTTGATTACAGAAGTCGTAAAAGAAGGTTCATCTTCAGTTCTTGTTCAAATCACGATCATCCGTCGTCTTTCTTTCTCCATCGCTACAAGGTGTGGTTTCTATCGTTCTAGTTAAACCCTCCGGTGGACTTTCTCTTCTATAATGCTAACTCTTTATGATTATTGATTCGTGGCTCGTTTGTCGTTTTCTTAATTCCTGTACTTAGGGTTTATTGGAAAGACGATCTCCTTAACAAATTTACCGATTACTTCTCCTAATTATTGCTTGAATTATGGTTCGATTTATTTATTGATCGACGGAATTGTTCTCCTGTGCAATAAAAGGTTCAATTTTGGGATTTCAGGGTTTGCTATTGGACAATCTTTGAGGAGGAGCTAGATTAAGAGGCTTTTGTGAAGATGTGGGCAGCTTCTTGCCTTGCGTCATGCTGCGCGGCGTGCGCTTGTGACGCTTGCCGTACGGTAGTGTCAGGGATCAGCCGTCGTTCCGCCAGGATTGCCTATTGTGGTCTTTTTGCTTTGTCACTCATTGTCTCGTGGATTCTTAGAGAGGTTGCTGCTCCTTTACTGGAGAAAATACCATGTAAGGTTTTTTTCCCTACAATCATGATGCATGAGCTTTTAACTTGTCAGAGCTTTCTCCTGTTGTCCGGTATTATTAACTTCAATTCTAACGTTGGCACCCTGATGTACAGATGGCTAATTGCTATATCTATGGTCCGCCTCTTGTGTTATTGGCTTTAAGCATCTTCATCCAACTCAGTCTCTCTAAATTTTCGATACTATGCTATCACATTTATTTGGAAAAGCTTGGTGCTTTACCAAAATATAAGTCATTCTCAGCTAAAACTACGAAATACCAAATCAAATTTGTATCCTTGACAAGGATTTGTTAGTAATTTGATGCTTCTCATGGGCCAATTAAGGACTTATGTTTTAAACTGATATTTAAGGAATTTGTAACCCCTTCTACTGATCAAAATTTTATTAATCTCGAGAAAGATTACATCTTGAATTTGTAGAACACGTCTGCCCGTGATTTGATTCTCAGCCATGTCAATTCGACCTGGAAAACTTGCCTATGCAATAATGATGAGTGCAACGCGAATTGCCAATTGCATCTTTGGTTATTAGGAATGTTTTAAGATGGTGAAGGATGGAAGACCCACATAGTTATGTGCATCTGCGAGCTTAGGTAGCATTTGAAGCAGAAGAGCTGTTGTATTGAATAATTAATTTACTATCTCTCAGTGTTGTCTTCCTTGAGGTTTAACGAAAGCAAGGTGATATAAACTAGAGAACTTTTTGAGGAAAATTTTCCTCAAAAGGTTATAATGGTCAGGTAGTGCTCCATACTGCTAAAAAATTTAGAAGTGAAGAGTTAAGAACAAAAACGCAAACCAGTTGCTGTCCTTTGTTACTTGTGGTGAAACTCTTTTTGATAATAAATGAAGGTCAAATATACTTAATGGACGAAAATGGCCAGAAACACTTTTGGCTTGCTGGCTTTGCTTCTCTGAATTTCTGGTATCAAGCTTCCGAGTCTTTAATTATGTGATTAGCAATAGTGAAGCTTTGGCAAGCCGTCTTTGTGTGCAAATGTCTGATCATTGAGTCATAGGATGAAATACTTATGTGTGTGTGTGCGTGTGTCTTTCTCACTCTCTACTGTCCCTTTCAGCCCAGTTAATGCTTTGAGGTTATATTGTGAGCTTATCAGTAGCGCCTTAAATCTACAACCTTTATTTTGAAATAGTTTGACTGACATTATCGTTTTTACTCCTAGGGCTTTTCTGATATTCCAAGACATCTTTAATGTTTATTACATTGCAGGGATTAATAGCTTTCATTCGACACCGAACAGAGAGTGGTTTGAGACAGATGCTGTGCTTCGGGTTAGTCTGGGGAACT